TTGTAATAAATGGTTTTCTTAAAATGGATTCATAATTGTGAAGTTTTACCTTAATAAAAATGAAAAATTTTGGTTGTGAAAATGGGACGTTACAAGTTGGTATCAGATTCCTGGTTTGGCGGATTTGGAGGAACACTTGTGTGAATCCAAACTCAAACTAGGATCCGAGAATTTTCACAAAACGTTTTTTAAAAAGAAATTATAATAAAAGGGTTGGGTTAGGGACATGGGCTCGGTCTCTTGTCATGTTCTTGTTTGATTGTTGGCTTGGGATTGGGAATGTGGATCTTTGACTTAACCTTGGTTTTACAGGAAGATGCGGTGTGTACAGTCATCTAGAGCCCAAACAAGAGAGTGGTTCCCAAAATACACATACTTGTTATATGTATTGAATTTGAACTTGCTGATATGTAAATTGTTAGAAAATCATGCTAGTGGATAAGCTAAGGTTCCTTTAGGAACTGTTGGATAGTAATGCCTGATCTTTGTGATGCCTTATGGTCTAGGGAATTGCTTGTTATATGTTATTTGATTGTGCGATTTCTAAGTGTATGTTGTATAGTTGTATACGGTCGGGATTAAATAGCCCTAGAATGATTGAATTAGCTTTATTTCTTGTTCCTTGTTTGGTTGTGGACTTAGGATACATTCAATTATTCGACAGTCTATCTGAACCCATATTGTGTACAACATGCATGCACAAAGAACTAGCGGTGCGAGAATGAGGACAATCCTAGGAGGAATGCCTAGGAAGTTAGTTGTGGCTCTTAATTAGCAGGTGGGTGGGTGTCAGTACACCTAGGAGTGGTCTATTGTAGTGACTTAGGACCTTGGGATGAATTATGATATGATTATACATAGGTGTGGAAGGCAGTACGGGCATGTACTACTGAAACCACAAGATCCATATGAGATTCAAGAGGAACCTCGAGGCTAGTAAGAAACTAATAGGTAGAGGAGTGACTATACACACTCATTAGGAACCTCGAGGATTCCACTGTGTGTAGCCACATAGGATGGCCTGAGAACTCTTGATCTAGGCTTTCTTGCATGTTCCTTGTTTGGTTGTGGCTCTAGAGTAGGATTATCTGTTCGGGTGGCTATCTCACTTCTGGTTCCTTATGGTTATGTATTCCATGGAGAGTTGTTGATAATGGAGCAGTTTGTTGTGAAGGGTCTAGTAGGCAGTAGTGATCTGTATGATTGGTAGTTGCCTGTATTTATGTGGCTACTTGATCTCTTGTTTGTTTATATGTCAACAAATTATGGCGGTTGAGGTTGAGGCGGTCCTGTTGTGTGATGTATGCCAAGAGACCAGGTGCGGGCTGGTAGTAAGCCGTAGGCACGGAGGCTCTAGAAGAGCGATTGGGTTGAGGCAACAAGCCAACATACTCGGGGTATTCCAGTACGATGACTCTGGACCCAATATGCATACTTGTATATGTTCTGTTGTGTGCGGTATTTTAGGGGAACTCACAAATCTTTGTGCTTACCTAGTTGTTTATGTTTTCATGCTCTATCAGTGATCGTGGAAAGGCGAAGGCGTGACTGTACACATTCATTAGCAGCATTGAGGATTTCCCGTTTATTATATTACTATGATTTTCGACAAATATAATTTGGAATAAATGGTTTTCTTAAAATGGATTTATAATTATGACGTTTTACCTTAATAAAACTGAAAAATTTTGGTTATGAAAATGGAACGTTACAACTAGTGGATGTTGTGCGATCATGTCGGGTCCTTCCCTTTTGAACCGGTAGTACCTAAAACATTAAACCAGAAAATCGTAAGCACAAAGCTTAGTGAGTTCCCCAAAATACCTCATACCATATACATATAAATGGGCCCCGACCAAACTACATAACGGGCCCCACCCAAATAATCTCCCCCTCTCCCATACAGAACATGCATAACCGGGCCCCACCTATGTAATCGGGGTCCACCCATATAAAACATACAAACACATGTAAGAGTCCGAAACACAACTAGCCAGCATCTTACAAACATATCCCAATGGGTTGGCATTGGTGCCTTCGACCCACGAGTACAGTGAAGAGACTCACATTAACCAGTCAACGAATAGATCTCACACACGGGCCGCTGGTGCTGAAGTCTCTCCCACTAAACATATCCAAACCAAAACCTAATTAGCAATTAGGATAAATCCCCAACGTAGCAAGTCCAAATACCAAAATACATCCTCATTTGGGCAAAAAACCATTTTGACCCTCTAAGTCCTCAATCCTCATAGTTGACCAAAAGTCAACTAGTCAAAGAGTCAACGATTAACCCCTCCTTTAGTTGACCCTCACGTCGTGACAAGATTACGGTCACGACATGAAAACCGATTCCCCTCTGACCCTAACTCATTCATGAGTCAACTTATCTCGGATTCAAACCTAAACGATCTGAACCACTGTCACGTGGTGATGATCAACTCTTAATGTCCTAACAACATCAGGCCAAAATAATCGAGGATTTCCTTCCTCTCGTCATGACCTCCAAATGGCCACGTCGTGAGTTACACATAATGGACATCTTAATGCATTCAACCCTAATCCTTTCACTCATGCATTCTAACTTTCCACAATGTCATATATCTCCAAAATCAACTTAAAAATTGGTGCTTTATGGACATGTATGTCCAATACATGTCTAGATCCCATATTGGGTCAAAGTGTAGAAAATATCACTAAAGTTCTCATGCAAGGATTCAAAACTCAACAATTTAGTAGATCTGAACTTTATGTCACTCTAGGGACCCTTAGAACCCATAAAGTTGCCAACTTTATGGTTTCCTTTCATACAAGCTTGCTCAAACGTAGAAAAAATGGGACAAAACCTAGACCTAGCAATATACAACAATAAAGGTTGAAGCTTTGACACTTACAATGGTCCAAACAAGCACAATATGATAATGATGACGTTCCCTTGCTGGATATACGACTAGAACACCTTATTCTTCTCTTCAAACTACCAAAAACACCAAAGTGAGCTCTAAAATGGAGTAGAGGAATTATGGTTTCTCTCTTTCTAGTTTGGAGGTGATAGGGGATAAAGGTGAAGGAAAACCTTCCCCCCCCCCCTACACACACACATACTTCCCTTAAATAGTTCCAAAGCCTGAAATTAGGGTTTCATTAAATCAGGTCTCATGTTGTGACACCTTAAAGATACAACCCGCACATTGTGGCCATGCCACGACGTGAGGGTGCTACCTTCACATCGTGAACAGTCCTAAATCCGAAAATTGTATAATTTTTCATACCTTAAGGATCCGGATGTTATAATTGATGAGATAAAGTTTGAAACTTTATAGCTCACTTTGGTCTCTTGGTCATTATATCTTTTGGATCTGAAGTTTGATTGTGTATTGAGTTCCATGCATGAGATTTTGGTCTCATTTCACCATTTTGACCTAGTTTGAGTTCTAGACTTTAATTGGACATAAATGTCTGTAAAGTTATGATTTTTATGTTGGAATAAAAGTAATAAATCCTTCTGGAAGTTATGGATTTTTGGCTTTAGTGATTAAGAGCTTAATGGTTGAGTTCATGCCTTAAGTTGTCATTAAGGATCTAGGTTTTGAGATCTGGACTTATTGGGATGTCTTAATGGGTAAAGTTAGAAACTTTATCCATCAAGACCTTGGGAAGGACTAGATCTGAGCTTTGGAGTTCTTGAGGTTGAAGAAAAACAACTTAATCCATTAAGTTATTGAGACCTAGTTCCCACGACGTGACATTTTGGACGCCACGACGTGCGGACTGGGGGATGCCCAACTATTTTGTCACTTTTTCTTCCACGACGTGGCAAATGGGAAGCCGCGACCTGGCGACCTGCTGAGGTGGACTTTGACCGTTGACCATTTGACCATTTTGACTTTTGGTCTAATTTGGAGAGGTTTTAAGCTATAGTATGAGATTTAGCTTGTGATTGGTTTAGGAGGTTCGTGTAGCTGATTCTGTGGGACTATGAGTAGGGGATTTCAGCTCTTCATTCAGGCGAGTCTCCTTATACTTGCTGACCAACTATGTCTTACATGTCGTTTGCTGTTATATATGTTACAGAGTTGATGATAACTCTAGGGCATGTTGTTAACCCATTGGGACTGCTGATAGTCCTTAGGGTTACTAATAACCCACAGGGCATGCTATTAGCCAACTGAGACTGTTAATAGTACCCATGGTTGCAGATAACCCATAAGACATGTTGTTAGCCCATTGGACATGATGTTAGTTAACCGGGCGTGCTGTTAGCCCATTAAGATTGCTGATAATCCTCATGGTTGCTGATAACCCATAGATGTTTACTTCTGCTGTGTTGTATGTGATATTTTGGGAACTCACTAAAAATCGTGCTTACAGTTGTGAATTAAATATTTTAGGCTACTTATCGGATTGCGAAGGTGAGATTGTACACACACATCAACAGTTTTATGATTCGAGATTCCGCATTGTATTCTTTATATATCTGATTTCTGAATAATGGTTTATGAACAAATGATCGACGTGAATGTATTTTTCTTAAAAATAGGTGCTTATTCTATTTTAAAAATGAAAAATTTATTCTGGAATCTAGGACGTTACGTCATTCCTTTAATGAATTCAAGAACATCAACTTTTTTTTTTACTTTCATCTATTTCCCTTCTTTTCTTTCGTTAAGTTGAACTCGGGAATAGGACGAAGAGAGCTAGGGTAAGCAAAGAAAAGAGGTGGAAGCCCAACTTTAGCTAGAATGTTTGTCGGTAATTACCAACAAAGTTTTCTGCTAGAATAAATTACCGATACGTTCTTACAAACATATTTTTTTCCCATTAGAAATTTGTCTTGTGGCCATTTCCAATGGATTACCGACGGATATGGCCGTGGAAGTGTGTTATTATTTAGTAATTTGGATCAAAATGCAAAGGCAACAAGTTTCATAAGCAGGAGAGTTCCTAACTCAAGTTTATATATACTTAATACTTTTTGGATACAATTCATTAACCAACTTATTTTTTATATTTGAAAATATAACTCAAAAGCAAATTAAGTAAAATTTAAATTACTTTTAGACAACACTTGTTTTTCTCATACCAAAAGAAAACCAACTCTTCCAAATTTAAAAGAATATGTAATTAAGCGCTCTAACATGGAGGCAAGTGGGGAGGTGGAGGCAAGATTCTAGCATTTGAGCTTTTTCCATTCCTTACTATAAATACCATTCCCATTCCCCAGCTGACATGACGTTCTAGATGACAATGCATGAACCAGACTCCTGAAATCAATACCAATAGTACGAAATTTATTAGTATTATATATTTTAAATAATAAAAAGAAAAATAAGTGAAAAGAAAGCTTACCAGGGTTATCTGCCTTAAATCTAATGGCAGTCCAACCATTCTGAGGAACTGCAATGGTTTGCATAAGAGGAGGATCTACCAAATTATAATTCAACGAGTCTCTTTTCCTGTTAAAGTTACCAAATCCCGATCCCACCACGTAAAAACTATGCCCATGCAAATGCATCGGATGATCAACTCCGGCAACCAAATTCGTTCCCTGAAACACCAGCTCCACCGTCTCATTATGCTTTAACATCTCCACATCCGTCCCAGTTTCCGGAAACTGCAACGACCTATTCAAACTACTAGCCGTGTAATTAAATCTGAATGGCGGAACATCTGGAAAATCATTCCCGTATACACCGTTTATTCCTCTGTAGTAAGCTCCCAGAACCGACGTCGACGGCATATCAAAAGTTATGTTGTTAATGCTCGCTGCAAACCGCCGCCCACCTGGCCCTAAACATGTCTCATTGACGCTACATGGCACTGTGTTTATGGAGAGAGTGTAGAGGAGTGTCTTTTTTATATTTAATGGAACGTCGACCGGATGTTCAGGGGTGGCTAAACTTCGTAACCTTGAAGTGAAGTTAAATGATGCGTTACTGTCGTTGAAATCTGGAAGGGAAGGGAAAACCGGCGCCCGGGACGATGGGGTGAAATTTCCGGTGTTGTATTTAAGAATGGCGGTGGTTGTGGTATTGTCGAATAGGCTGCTGGGTTGGCCGTTGAAGAGCTTGGCCGCCATGTAGTACCGGCCGCCGGCGCGTTTGTTAGCTGTTAGGAGGAGGTCTAGGGTTTGGCCGGGGGCTATGGTGATGTAATTGGATACGAGTGGTTTCATGTAGGCGCCGTCGCCTCCAACTATTAATAATGTTGTTCATGGCGGCGTTGACCATTCTGAGCATATATGTCTTTCCTTCATCGACTTTTATTTTCGTTGTTTCTACAGACACACACAATTAATTCAAGAAATTTATCTATTAATATATTGTTTATATATTAAAATTTTAAAAAAAATCCATCTATTAATAATTATAATTAGGTTTTCTCGTTTTTTTTTATAATTCCTTTTACTTTAAAGAAAATAAAAAATGTCGATCACTTTTTATTGTTTTAATGTAATATTAATACTGTATTGATTTTACTATAGAATTGAAAAACGGTATTAATGTATCATTTGTCTTGTTAAATTTGATAGTTTTAGATAAATTAATTTTACCAAAGGGCTTCTAGCCGAGAGGTATCAGGTGGTGCCTTTCCTCCTTGAGGTTGAGGGTTCAAGTCCCGTAGTGGACATAAGTAGGATTATGTGTTAGTTTAGAAGTAGATTATAATACTTGTATTTGCCGGTTCAAAAAAAAAGATAAATTAATTTTATAGTTTTGGTTGAAAACTTTACACTCGTGTTTAATTTTTTGTATGGGTGTGTTAATGGATAAATATAGTTGATCAGATGGATTTTTACCTTTGTTGCATATATGTATTCTTTTATGTTTGGAACTTAGACTTAATTATAAGTAATTTTTTTTATAAATTATAGCCCAAACAAAACAAATTAAGTAGTTCATCATTGTCTTAGTTTCTTCCCATCATGATCATGCAAACTAAAAAACAATTATATATGGTATTAGAACAAACTTTGACTATATATAACATTTATTTTTAAATCATAATAATCAATAATCTAATTTAAATATAAAATACCTGAAGAAGAGCAATTGTAAAGATCACCAGGCTGACCGTTGATAGTAAGAGCATCAGAGCTGGCGGGATCTCCTCCGCCGGTGATGAAGTCTTCGAACACTGTTTGTATATCGTTCTGCCACCATTCTCCTGCACACATTTTCGGTTGTTACTTTTTATTAACAAACTCATTGTTAATTTCTAAATAATTAATATAAAAAAAATTATGTTTTAAGTATAGCATCCTTTCTAGATATATAGGGTCTACAAAGAATAATAAAAATAAGAAGGTTGTCTAAGGAAGTGGGAATCAGCTAAAAACGTGTTAGCACGTATTAAACTAAACCAAAGTATAATCTTTCGGTTTTATTTTACTTAAAAACAGTTATTTAAACCAAAAGTCTTTGACTATAATCACTATAAAATAGGAAAGGGTAAAAGACTAAAATTAAACCTAAAACGACAGGGACTTCTGCGTCAGGTTTGGGAAAAGGGTAGGTAGTTCCCAGCCGAGGTAAAATGACAAATAGGCCGTGTATGGTGGCGCGTGACCAATCGCTATGCGCGTGCCACCACAATGTCCCCTCCTCATCGGAAAGCAAAACCCTTTGGCTGAAATTAGCACCCGGTTGGATCGGGCATTGTGTCACAAACTCCGGTCCATCTGACCATGGGTACCTTGGTTGTTTCACTCCATGCCTATATACGTACAATATCATCATCATATTCATCGTTAAACATTATATTATAGACTTAACATGGATTAATTTATGACAAAAAGATGAGAACAAAACTTTTGAATAATGCTTATTATATTAATTTTATACCAATGGATTGTGATATTGTGGTCGCCCCCGTTGATAACGTCAACGATGACAGTGTCGCCTCTGCGAGCAGTGATTGTTGGACCTGGGAATTGTCCATTAACAGTTAAAATGTTCTTGCTACTGCATAGCCTCGTGTAGTTGGTTTCTTGAATCTGAAAAAACGAAACCAGATTTACTAATTGATGATTTTCTATGGTTTATAGAAATTTAAAACTTTACCACAAAAGTGTACTGAAGGACAGCAGCTTGTGAATGGATGAATGAAAGAACCAGAAGAAACCCTAGAACTTGAAAGCTCATCTTCATCTCCTTGACTAATGGTGTAATCATGATAAACCCTAGAACTAATTGGCTTCTTTCAATTATGTTTTCGCATGCATGCATGTATTTATAGTATGCTAGAGAAGATAGAGGCTGCTAACTGTTGGCTGGTCGTCGGATTTCTTAATAGTTCAATTAACTTGTCTTTCCTTGACCCATGTGCCTATAATCTATATGTATACACACGTATATTAATTTTAAGGCACCTAATTAACATGCATGTCTGTGGATGACATAGTCTTTGGATCAGTTATACCAGTCTTAATTAGTTAATTATTTTTCAATATAAAATTTATATCTTGTATTGTAATTTGTAAGGGTATAGTATATTATTTATATATACAAAATAAAGACGTGAGGACAGGTATTGTTCATTTAGGTAAAGAAGTAAGGATGGAGATCACACAAAATCTCAAATGAATAATTAATTTAGATTGAGAACCAAGATGGGGCCAACATTCGTACGTTAAAAAGACAAATTGTTCAAGTTACTTTAGTTCTTACAATCATTGCAATTAATTAAACTTTATTTTGGTATTGTACCACTTTCTATATAATGTCGTGGAGAAGCATAAACCATTTTAAGTTGAAGGTTCAAGTTTCGTACGTAGATATAAGTGGAATTAAGGAGTAGTTTATGAATAGATTTGATTTGTTGTTTAAAAAAAACATATATGCTAATATAAGCATAAGAGCTTCAAGAAAATGGAAAATTAGTTGTAAATATACGTAGTAGGAAGCCTGATTATTTGACCTACTTATTATTTTATAGACCACTTTCATTCTTTTGTTCTTAGCTAGAAACAAAGAAATATTAGAATATTCTTATTTGCATTTGGTTTAAATAATTGTCTATGTAATTGTTTTTCAATTTTTCAGTTTGTGTATACAACAGTTTTTCAGATAATGCAATCACATTTTATTATACCATCAAAATATACTATATTTATATATGATTATATAAATTATATAAAAAACCACATTCCTACGTGCATAAGTTGGTAAAAAGAATCAAGCATGAATCATATTTGCCCATTTCATTTTTGTATAAATTTTTATTTACTTATCTGATTATTTGAAATAAGCTATAACTAATTTCAACTTATAATTAAATAATATCTAGGGAAATGAATTGAAATTACCATCGTTCTATACAAAATTCAATAATTTTTCTCTCGCAAATACGTCCTATAAGCATAGGCGGATCTAGTATATATCCCGGGTAGCCCGGGATACCCTCAAAAAAAATTTAGTAATGTAATTTTTTTCGATTTTTTTTTTCTTATTGTATATTACGCAAATTTTTTTGTTGGGGATACTCCTTTACTTTGATTCTGGTTCCGCCATTGCCTATAAGATTAAAATTTATATTACATAAAGTGGGTTAAAAGTTTATTTAATAAGGGTGAAACTAAAATCATTATTTTGAACATGTTGGTTAGACGACAATTATAAACGGGTGGAAGGATGTCGAGGGAGGATTGAGAAGACGAAAAAGAGAACAATGTGACATGAGGTTCACATGAATGAAGGCAGAAGACAGTATGTAAACCCTAATCTAAGGGTAGGGGAGGAGTTATCATTATCGTTCTTTGTTATAAAATTTCCAAAGAATACGAATAAGAAGGAACTTTCAGATTTATGTGCTAAGCATGGGTATGTTTCAGACGTCTGCATGGAGAACAAATTAACGAAACAAGGCATGAGGTTTGCTTTTGTTAGATTTCTTTGTGTTAGGTATGAAGTGGAACTGGTGTTTAAGTTGCATTCAATTTGGATCGGGAATTTCCATATGTTTGTTTGTTGTGGCTAGATTTGAAAGGGACCAAAAAGTAACGACCGAGGCTGTAACAATGATGATGAAACAAAGTGCCCCACAAGTGGACGTTGGTGCTAATAATTGATGGGTTTTATATGTTACAAAAAACAATTTTTTGACGAAAAACCATAAACCCTAAATTCGCATACACCCTAAGGATCTAAGTTTTCACTACTGAATGCAATAACCAACTGAATATCAAGAACCCTAGGATTTTCAAAAAATCATAATAGGGTTTAGTAAAACATACCTTTTGATTATGCTAGTAGATAATCAAATCAAATCTTTGTTGTAGTTACTTGGAAGCTAGCACCAGAAATCTTGTGACTCTGATTGTTCACACCCAACCTTAGCAACAAGGGGCTTACAAAGATATGAGGTGGGATATCAAATTTTCAGCCTTGGCTTATGTGAATGGAGTAGCCGAAATTTGAAGCCCTTGGGATCTTTATATAGTTGAGTTAGGAAATCCTAAATAACCTATCTCAAATTTGATAATTATCTACTCCCTAATTATCCATAATGGATAATCTAGAAACCCTAGATTACCCTCCGAGAAACCGTCCGCCTCCATAAGGGAAGGTTCTGAAACCTCTTGCTCAACTATTAAAAAATTACAATTAGACCCCTGCACTTTTAATTAATCAAATTAATTCCAATAAATTTTTGATTAATTATTAATTAAATAAGACAACTTCTAATTAATATATTATTTTTATAACATATTAATAAATTCATTTATTGCTATTTATTAATCATATAATAAATCAATAAATATGTCTCTTTCTCTAAAAGTCATCATTTTCAATTACTAGGTTTGAGGGCAACCCAAAAGTACTTTTGTAACGCCCGGTTCCTGATACGTATTTTTTTTTTAAAAAAATGAAGAATTATCATTTTAACGAGGGGACTCGACGAGTTGAAGGATCAACTCGTCGAGTAGGATCGGGCGTGGA